GTTCGCTGGGCTCATGGTGCTGCTCGTGTCCGACTGGGAGGCGGACTGGAACCCCATGATCGTGGCTTCGGACGCCTCCGAGTGGGGCTACGGGCTTTGCAGCCGCTGGGTTGGTACCGACGAGGCTGCGGCAGTGGGCCGTGTTCGTGAACGTGATCGCTACCTTGACCCCGACCACGTCGCCGCTCGGGCCGCCGCTCTTGGAGGGGCCCAGTCGGCGACCTCTCTGCCTGCCGAGCCTGCCGACCTGTGGGACGCCTGCGGGACGAGCGGCCTGATGGCCGACCCCACCTTTGCGGAGGTGCCCTCGCCCATGCTGGAGAGCACGCCCTGGAGGACCATCGGCGGCTGGCCGTTCTCGGGCGAGGAAGACATTTTGGTGCTGGAGGCTCGGGCGCTGCTCCGCGGGCTCGAGCGCGTGACCCGCACACGTTTTGGCCGCAACATTCGCCAGGTTCTTTTTGCCGACAACCTCGGCCTGGTGCTCTCAGTGGGCAGGTGGAGGTGTCGGAACTTCAAAGTTCTCGTCATCCTGAGGAGGATGGCGGCGTGGTGTCTCAGCCGCAACGTTCGTCTCTCGGTTCGATGGGTGCCGTCCGAAAAGAATCCTGCTGATGCCCCGTCCCGTCTCTTTCAGCCCAAGTCTCATTTTTTGTCAGAGGAGGTTGATGGAAAAGACCACCCCGATCCGATAGGGCACGCCCCCCATGACGGTTTTCCGCCTGTTGCTGCAAGCCCCTCTCGGGTGGAGCCCTGTGCTGGCGACGAGCCTCAGGGGGGTTTGGAAGAGCTGACGCGGCGGCCGCGCGCCAAGGGTCTTGCGCATCCTGTCCGCCCGCGGGTGGGCCCTTTGCATCCTTGCCGTGGGGGTGGTGGCGTCGCCGCCCGTGCGTGCGGCCGCGTTTCGCTTGGGGCGTCCTCTTCCGCTGGCTCTCGCCTCGGTGCTTCTTCAGTAGCCGCTTTGGCTCAACCTGACTCACATGATTCATCCGAAAGCGACTACACCCAAGCGCACTCGCGCCTTGGTCCCCTCTCAGCCTCGCAGCGATGCCGCACTGGCGGATCCTATGAGGAAGCGTCGGCTCCCGTCGACGGAGGTCGCATCCGTCTCACGGCCGCGCACTTCCCGTGTTCCGTGGGCGAACGGCGAGGCGGGGGTCAGGGCGCTGCAGACGGCGGCGGGCCTTTGGGAGATTTCGGACGACGAGGTCGTGCAGCTGCTGTCGGAGCTGCGGCGCCGCCAACAGCGGGGGCTGGACACGGAGGCTCCCCCGAGCTCGGAGAGCGGGCCCGAGGCCGAGCCAGGGCCACGTCCGACCGCTCGTGCTCGTACGCCTCCGCCGCGGGCCAAGAAGGCCCTCGAGACCCTCCTGTCGGCCAGGACGCTGCCAGGCTTCGCCCACCTCACGGCGGGAGAACACGCCGCCGTGAGGCCGAGAACGGAGGCCCAGTACGCTCAGGAGGTGGCTGCGTTCAGGACGTTCGCGAATACCGAGAGGCTGACCGACATCCCGATCACGGACCTGGACGACCTGCTGGTGAGCTACATGGACCAGCAGATCCGTCGGGGCGTCTCGGCTGCTCGCGGAATGAAGCTGATCGCTGGCGTGGTTCACGGCCAGCCGAGAGTGGGCAAGAACGGACCCCACACCTTGTCACGCAGCTGGAGGGCGCTCAAGGGCTGGCAGAACCTCTGCCCGTCCACATCTCGTTTGCCCGAGGCGTGGCCCATCTGGTGTGCCATCGTGAACGGGCTAGTGCTGCTGGGCCGCTCCGACATGGCGCTGTTCATCTGCCTAATGTGGAGCACCTACGCCAGGCCCATCCAGCTGATGGCCCTGAAGCCCGAGTACCTGTACCCGCCGTCGCGGGCGTCGACCTTCTGGACGGTCCAGCTCAACCCCGAGCCCGAGGGGGTCCCGTCCAAGGCGAAAGAGTTCGACGTGACTATCGAGCTTGACCACGCCTGGTGGTCCCGCCTCGCTCCGATGCTCACGACGCTGAAGAGCTTGCCTGCGGGCCGTCGGGTGTGGTCGTTTACTTACCCGAAGCTGGCGGCGACAGTGGCGAAAGTCGCCAAGGACCTCGGCTTCGACCTGGTGGTGTACCAGGCTCGACACAGCGGCGCCAGCGCGGACATGGCGTCCGCACGGGCGTACCCTGGCCGAGGTCAAGAAGAGGGGCGGCTGGAAGGCCGATCGGTCTGTGGTGCGGTACGAGAAGGGAGCTCGCCTGGCCAGCACGTGGGCCCGCCACCCGGCCTGGCGCCAGAGCCGCGCCGAACGGTGCGAGGAGAGATTCGTGGAGATCTTGCTGCACGGCCTCACGGTGCCCAGGCCCGCCTCCACCTCCCGTTAGGGGAGCGTCGTCTCTTCGTGCTGCTGATCGGCGACGCCTTCCTGCAGCCGCACCATGTTACGCGGCAGGGTTTCTTGACCAGGAGCCTAACCGAGCGGGATCTGACACTTGGGTCCTTGCTCGCGCTGCGCCGTGATTTTCAGGAGTCGCGCATTGCTGCCTTGTTTGTCTCAGTGACCGATTCGGACACGATGATGCGAGCTCGTTCGTTGATCACCCTTGCTGTAAAGTTGGGGCTCCCAGTTATGATTGTGTGCCGTGCCAAGCTAAGTTCAGACGTCGGCCGAGCGTTTAGCGAATTAGAGGGTGCTCTCTGTCAGGTTTCGCACATGTGCAGATATGGTGGTCGTGGTAGATTTCCGATTGTCTCGTGCATTTTCAATATACAGTCTGCCGACTGCTCTCGCCTAGGCCTCGCGTGCCCTGGCAAGCGTTCCCGCGACAGCCACCAGCCCCACCTCTTTTCGCTTCGCCCCGCCCACCAGATCCCAAAGAGGTTCCAAAGAGCCCTGGCGTTCACGCTGTTAGCTGTCCCTCGTGCTCTGTACTTATCAGTGTGAGAACAGAACCTGTTTGGGGTTTTCTGATTCGGGATGATGTGTGAAGTTTAACTGCGGAGTTCGAACTCCGCTCTGTCTTCCCATCTCGGATCCGAGTCGCTTAGACCAGCGAGTGCAGTAGAGAGAAGTAATCACCGCTAAAAAATATGCATGTAAGTCATGGGGGTGCGTGCACATTAATGACTTAGCGGATTTTGGGATGTCGGTCTCATCACCTCATCGTGTCACTCAGTAGTCGTCTGGGCTCCCCTCCCGCCCAACCCCTTTTGAGAGGAGCGGTACATGCCTGGATGATGTGTGAAGTTTAACTGCGGAGTTCGAACTCCGCTCTGTCTTCCCATCTCGGATCCGAGTCGCTTAGACCAGCGAGTGCAGTAGAGAGAAGTAATCACCGCTAAACAATATGCATGTAAGTCATTTTCTTTCTCCTCATCCACACGTGCACTTAATTAATAACTCAACTAATACACAGAACTAATTCACACCGCTCCTCCCCGGTCCTCTCATCTGCTTTCCTCACCTCCCTTACACGTACATTTCACTCATACATTTAGCTAATACCGTTAACCAATACACGCCGCTCCTCCCCTGTCCTCGCCTCCCCTTCCCTTTCCACCCGCACACGCACACTTAAGTAGTACACTTAACTAATACATTTAACTATTACTCACCGCTCCTCCCTGGTACTCTCCTCTCCTTCCTTCTCCGCCCCCACACGTACACTTACCAATTTCACTTAACGAATACACCTAACTAATACACACCGTTCCTCCCCGGTCCTCCCCTCTTCTTCCCTCCCCCCCACACGTACACTTAACGAATACACGTAACGAAATAAAACATTCAACAAATACACACCGCTCCTCCCCTGTCCTTTCCTCTCCTTCCCTCTCCCCCCCATGCGTGCACCCAACTCACACGGTCAAGTCATACACTCAACTCATACAGTCCAACACTCAACTCATACACTTAACTAATACACCTAACTCGTACACAGAACTTATACACTTAACTAATACACTTAACTAATACACTTACCGAACCCATTCAACTCATTTGCTCAACGTATACGCTTAACTATACCATGTTCTAGCACGCTTAACAAACACACTTAACTCATACATTTAACTAATACGCTCTACTAGTGCAGTTAACTCATACACTTAACCAATACGCTTAACTAATCCACTTAACCAGTACACACCGCTCCTCCCCTGTCCTGCCCTTTCCTTCGCTCTCCAACCGCACACGCACACTTAACTAATACACTTAACTCATACACGCCGCTCCTCCCCTGTCTTCTCCTCTCCTTCCTTCTCCGCCCCCACACGTACACTTACCAACTGCACTTAACGTCTAAACCTAAGTAATACACACCGCTCCTCCCCTGTCCTCTCCTCTTCTCCCTTCCCCCCACACGTACACTTAACGAATACACTTCGCGAACTAAAGCACTTAACTAATACACGCCGCTCCTCCCCTGTTCTCTCCTCTCCTTCCCTCTCCTCCCCCATGCGTACACCCAACTCACACAGTCAACTCATACTCCCAACTCACATTCTCAAACACTCATCTCATACACTTCAATATTCCACCTAAGTAATACACTTAACCTATACGCTGAACTTATATACTTAACTAATACACGTGCCTGATACATTCAATTCATACACTTAGCTTATACACTCAACTAGTACACTTTCTAACACACTTAACAAACATATTCAACTAATACACGTAGCTAATACACTTGACTAATACAGTTTTTTCATACACTTAACTCATGCACTTAACTAATACACTTAACCAATACACTTCGCTAGATACGAGCACGACCGTGCAATTACAACCACCACGGCACCGTACACTAACAGCAGAGTTTTTTCCCCGGACCTCTCCCAGGGTGCGTTCTGACCAGAATGTCGATGCGACTCCAGCGGTGGCGACGAGGGCCCTCAGGAATCCGACAAAAAAAGACGGGCAAAGGGTAGCGGTATAGATTCGCGCTTGCGCCCGTGGCTGCGGTTCGTCCTCCTCCTCCTCCTCCTCTGATACTCGCCCGCGCCCGCGGCCGCCCCTGAGGCCCCCGCGGCGCCGGCTTCCTGCCCCTCACCACGTGGTCCAGGGAGAGGCGCAGCCCTGCGGGGACGGCGCCCGTCCTCGGTCGTGGAGGAGGGGGAAGGAAACGGGGAGGGGGGGGGGAGGAGGGGGGAGCTGGAGCGCGGAGGAAGGAGGGGGGAGGGAGAGAGGGAGGTGGGGGATGATGATGATGATGATGATGATGATGATGATGATGATGATGATGATGATGATGATGATGATGATGATGATGATGATGATGATGATGATGATGATGATGATGCTAGTGATGATGATGCTGCTGATTATTATGAAGGTGATGCTGATGATGGTGACGCTGATGATGATGTTGTCGTCGTCGTCGTTGTCGATGTTGCTGTTGAGCTATCCACCCCCTCCGGTGACCATTGTGTTTTTTCATGTGAATTGCTTCCCCCTGGGCTCAGGGAAAGTCACTAGGGTCAAACTGTATTGTTGGGCCCCGAAGTACAACAATAACGGCTCCCGCCTGATCCTTCCTCACAAAGTATTCCCAAATCGCGCTCTCGCGCGGAACTTCTTCTCACTTCATTCAGGAATCGCGCTCTCGCGTGAGACTTCCTCCAAATTTATGGTGACGCCGCGCCCTTGACATGCAGGGGTCACGCTCTCGCTGTCGATTTCTTCACGATTGATTCGGCAATCGAGCTGTCGCTCGAGACTTCGCCGCGATTCACGCAGGACGCAAGCTTCAGCAACCCGCCTGCTCGACCTCGCCGCCTGGGCCTTCCTTCCCGACCCGCTTGGTAGAGTCTACCCGCCCGATCTGCCCGTGTGGTTCTGCCACGTGTTTTCTGCTCCTGGCCCCACTTTTCCGAGTCCCTCTCGTGCTCTATCCTCCTCCCTCCCCTTTGTCCTTTCCTTCCATCCGTCCTTTTTTCCCCTGCCTCAGGGGCTGCGCGAAATCCAAGTTTCAGGTGAGAGAAATATACCCCACGGGGGTACGGCCGAAATCGAAGAGGGCGGGTATCGAGGATTCGGGATAGACGTGTTGGCACGCGAGCAGATAAGAGCGACCATTGTTACATAGATTGCTGTTGCTGTTTATGCTGCTGCTGCTGTTGTTGTTGCTGTTGCTGCTGTTGGTGTTGTTATTGTTGTTGATTATGCTGTTGCTGCTGTTGCTGATGTTGTAGATCGTGCTGCTGCTGCTGTTGCTGTTGCTGTTGCTGCTGCTGTTGTTGCTGTCGAGCTCTATTTCCAAGGAATAATTGTTCTTGGTCCCAACTGTCCAGTAACCATTGTTTCTTTTGAATTAAAGTGCCCCTCCGGGGCTCGCACCCAGCTTTTCCACAGGGGAACGCGAAGAGTCACCAAATTGTGTTGTTGGGCCCCGAACTACAAACAAGTATTTTACCCGAGTGCTGTATGTTTGTATATGCAGCATCATCCATCATGATACCCCCCCTCATGGAGATTTGTCCTTGCGCACGGGGGTCCGATATTCCCTCTCCCTCATCTCCCCCCCGAGGAGGTCTTGACAACACCTCTTCCGAAACTTTTCGACATCTCCAGCTCGGATTCCAGATCGCCTTTGCGGTCTCCTTGCCCAGGCCCTGCTCCTCGGTATCTCGACGTCTGAGTGGCTTAAGACCTCTGGGGGAGAGGCCTCGCAACTTGTGGGAGAACCCCCAGAGCCTGTGAGAGAAGCCTCAGAGCTTAGGCTCCCTGGCTTTCGACCCTTTCCCAGGTGGCGCTTTTGCGTCGGCCACTTTCTGATGGCGCCGGGGTTTTCATCGTCGCCGTCGTCGTCGCCGCCGCCGCCGCTGCCGCCGCCGCCGTCGTCGTTGTCGTCGTCGGGTCCAGAAACAGCCAGGGGTTTCGATTTGCCGAGGATGTCTCAGGCGAGGGCGCCGGGCGGGATTCTACGCCAGGTTTCGCCAGAGTCACCCGGCGCAAACAGGAAAATTGGCGAGTCGCCGGAAACAAAACAGGAAGCTGGCGTGAAATCTGGCGCGAAGGCTGGCGTGCAAGAGGGAGAAAGGAAGGAAAGGGAGGGGGCGTGGGAGAGAGCGGGGGGGGGGAGAGGGAAGGCTCCGGCGACTGGTGTGATAACTGGCATGAAGGTTGGAAAGATTGATTGGGCAGCGGGGGGGGGTACAGCGGATTCTGGCGAGATAGAAGGAACAATTTGAGAAAGTTGGGGAAAGCTGGCGAAGAGAAGAGCGGGGGAAAGATGATGGAAGATAGGAACAGTGAGTGAGAGAGGGAGAAGAGAGGGAGATAGAGGAGGAGGACGACGACTACCGCGACGACGACGATGACGGCGGCGGCGGCGACGACGGCGACGACGCCGCGCCCCAGGACGCGGGCGAGAGCGAGGTCGCGCTGGGCAGGTGCGAGAGCGCGAAAGCGCATCCAGGGTGTCCAGCAAAGATAATTGATTGACGCGCTTGTTTTCTGAACCCCTCTCGTCTTCCCACTCGGCCGCCGCTTCCGCGGCTCAAGTGCATTTTTGGCGGCGCCGCAAATCTATGGGGCCCCTCGCGAGCGCGGCCGGGGCGGCATCCCTGGCGTCTCCTGTGCCGCGGCCGCTGGCCGAACAAGCGCTGATCTGCTCGATTCAGTCCACGGTCCTAGGCGGCCATTATCAGATCAGCGGCGCGTGCCTCGTCCTTGGTGCGCTGCTCGGCATGGTGGTCGCGCGGGCATTCCAGGCTTGCTCTCATGTCGGCGTCGCTCGGCGATCAGCACTTGCCGGGCGGGCCCGAGGTGCAGGTGCAGTGCCCCGACGAGCCCCGCCCGCGGCATCGCCGCGCGGTGATGCGCCGCTGTCCGCTAGAGGCGCGTCGACGGGTGATGGAGGGCGAGCCGCTCGCGGATGCCAACTCGATCTACTGGATCACGACGCCCGACTTCGACGTCTACTCCGAGGAGTTGTCGGCGCCGCCATTGACGGGCGTCGCGGGCACCGCGCCAGACGGCGGAGCCCTGGTTCCAGCGCCCGGGATCGGCCGCGCCGCGCACTTGAAACGGGCGCGGGCGTTCTCGCCACTCCCGACGCCCGCGGCCTTCGCGGAGGCTCTGCGAGCTGGTCTGGGCGAGGTGGCCCAGCTCGTCGGCGTCTTCGGGATCGCCGGGGGCCCCGCTCTAGGCGGGCGGCGGCGCGTCTCCAACAGCGGCCTCGGCGACTCAGACTTCACCTCTGACGCGAAGGACAGGTGCCTGCGCGCGCCTGGCATCGCGCTGGCGAGCCGCGGCGGGGAGTTGATGGTGCTTGTCGATTGTTCTGATGCCGCAGCTGCCGCCGCGCCCGAGCAGGGCGCCAGGGTCCTTGAGATCTCTCGCGACGAGCTGGGCAATCGGCGCAGGGGTGTGATGGGGGCGATCGACTGTTGCGCTGAGGGCGCATGGGTCAGCTGGCCGCTGACGGGCCCGCGCACGGCGATGTGGTGCTTGACCTTCACTGCCCAAACAAACGGGCATCCGAGGGCCAGGCGCGCGCGGTGGAAGCATGCCTGTCGGCTCGCGAGCGGCGACCATGAGGCGGCCATGAAGGGGTTGGGGCGCGCGCTCACGCATGACCGGCTTGCAGTGCCAGAGTTCGTTTTCGCTGTGTTTTTTTTGAGGCGGGTCCAGCTGGCCGAGTTCAGGCGCCGGCGTCTTCTGCTGCGGCCCGACGACTACGGGGGCGACTCGGCGAACGACGAGTTCTTCTACCTCGGCCTCGGCGAGGCCAGCGGGCACGTCATGTCGCGCCCTGCCTTGGAGGAGCGCGTCGCCCCCGAGCTCCGCAGGGAGAGCACGGTGGCCATGGGGCGGCGCAAGCTGCGGGAGGGGCGGCAGCTGGCCCGCGCATCTCCTGGCGCGGCGCCCACCCAGGCGGCCGCGGCGGCAGTCGCTTTGGCCGCCGACCCGCTGCGCTCGCCAGCGAGCGCGCCTGCTGCCAACTCGAAGGCCGTGGCGAAGCCGAAAGGGGAAAGCGCAACGAGGCCACGGCGGGCCCTGCCGCCGCGTCTGAAGCACGACTGTCGCGCGGGCCGGCTTGCCCGACCGGCCCGCGACATCAGGGCTTCAGCCCGTCGCGAGAGAGCTTCTCCCGATGGCGGTGCCGTTCTGCGACGATGCGCAGGTTCACTCGGATGGCCCCGGTTCTTTGACAAGGTCAGCGGGGGGGCGGCTGAAGGTGAAGGCTCACTGGCAGGCCGCCGTCAATTCAGCAGCGGGGAGTAGGAGTGACTTGTATGGCGTCAGGCTGGGCGAATCGTCGCTGGGGCTTTCGCGCCTCCAGCGCGAGGCGCGTCGGCATATTTCAGACGTATTTCGAGCTGTTCCTGCTTCGCCGTGCGCGGCCGTGGAAGCCTTCGAGGAGCTTTGCGGCGCTCGAGCGGGATATGATGACGCTGATGATCCCCGCGTTCCTGTCCAGTATGATTTGATATCGTGGCCCTCTCGGGGCGAAGTTGCCGACGGTGCCGAGGCGCCGACGGGCGATCCCCAGTGCCACTGGAACAGAACAATTGCGACAAAACGCTCATGTGGAGCGACCAGGACATGTCTGATGCTACCAGACTTCGTGCGAAGCCTTGCTCCGGTCCCAGTTCGATTAGGGGCGATATGAAGCATGCGAAGCTGATGGCCGATATGCCCCCCCCTGTAGCTGTGCTCCCTGCGGCCGCGCCAGGCGTCGACAGTTGGCATTTTATGTGTCAGGCAGAAGAGTGGCATGCGACGTAGGATTCTGGGCGCCAGGCCTGTGAATGCGAGATTCCAGGAGGCAGGGCGCACAATCCTGCCGATGCCATGTGTTTGGGCCAGCGTCGAGCTGCAGCCTGAGGACGAGCTGGTGTTCTCGCAGATGGACTTGGAGTGCGCGTTCCATCGCATCCGCGCGCCTCCAGGGGCATATGATCAATTTGTCTTGCCTCGCGGCTGATCCGTCGACCGGCGCCTGGGCGCGATGCCACGGGCGCCGATTGGACCAGCCCACGCTTTGAGGTCATGGCCATGGGATGGTCGTGGGCGCTGCATCTCTGCTAAGAGATGGCGACGGCATCAGTTCAGAAGGTGGGCGTTCCCATCAGCCAATCCTGCCGAGACAAGAGGCCGCGTCCCGACTTGACTGACGCGCAGGTGGCAGTGGCCGCTTGCGTTGACATCGCTGCTATCGCCTGCGCTGACGAGAAGCGGGTCACAGTCGCGGCAGACGCGGTGATCAGGCAGTTGGAGGCCGACGGGTTGGACTGCAAGACGATTGAGCACGGGCCCGACATCGCGCACTTCACTGGCCTGGGCTTGCATCGCGCCTCTGGCCGCATATCTGCGGGTCACTGGAGGTGCTGGGCGGGCAGGCCCGGCTTGTCTCACGTCGTGGCGGTGGGGCATGCTAGCGGCCCTGAGATTCATTCGCTCCTGGGGCATTACACCTGGTCTGCTATCCTTCGACGGCGTTGGCTCTCGCCACCGCATGCATGCTATTGCTTCGTGGACAAGGCGGGCCTGGACTGGGTGCCACTCTGGCCGTCCGTTCGACGTTTGGTCGGGTGGATGATATCGCTGCCCCCGCTGGCCTACGCCGATGCAAAGCCCCCCCTGGTCTGGCAGCGTGACCGCGACAGACTCCGAGGGCGCCGACCTGATCGACAGCGGGGGTTTCTGTGTCGTTCGGAAGTGCAGGCGCGGGCTTGGAGGCGGCAGCGGGGGCGCTGGCGCTTCGCTGTGGCCGACGCGGCGCAGGCTCGCGCGGCGGCGTTGGCCGCCGCTGCCAGCCCCGCGGCTGCGGCGGCAGGCGCCGACGCCGAGGCCGCCTCCTCGGTCTTGGGCGTCGCTTACAACCACCTCGACGGCAGCGCCATCGGCGACTTCAGCAGCTGGCAGCTGCGGGTCAGGGGCCGCTGGCGGCGCGCAGAGGGCATCGCGTCTACGGGGGGGCGGCTGCGGTCATTGCCGCCCGACAAGCGCTTCGGTCAGTTGAAAGCCTCCACCATTGTCACGTCAACGTCGGAACTAATATAGGATTTATCTCGGCACAGGGGAAGGAGGGCGGGGGGGGTTACACATTTCCGCATCAACCACCACCTGCGTCAGCTGTGCGCACTCAGTCTCGCAGGCGACGCAGAGTTTATCAGTCGTTGGGCCCCCGGTGAGTTCAACCCCGCCGATGGGCCATCCAGGCTCAAGGGGCCTGTGGTGCGGGGCGGTGGCGCCGACCCCCGCGATGCCCGCGGGCGCGTCGGCTCGGCCGACGCGCAGCTCCGCGCCCGTGCAGCTGCCGTCGAGGCCTTTGCCCGCGACGAGCTCAGGCGCGGTGGTGCCGCTGGGGCGGCCGCATTCGGTAGGTGGGCGCCTCCTCCGCCGCTCGACCTCGCAGGTGCCGACGACGCCATCGGCGACTGGCATTCTGCGGCGAGCTCCGCCGACTCCAGCAGCTCCTCCGACGACGAGGGGGCCTGTGCTGAGGTCGAGGGTTGGTGTCCTGCCGGTCAAGCGGCCCCTGGGGGCGGCCGACTTGGCGCTGCCCAGCGCGCAGCAATGACGCGCCCGCGCTCGACGGCGAGTCGAGGCTCATCGAGCTCGCGCTTCGGTGTGCAGGGACCTTGGCGCCCCCTTCCTGGGGGCCAACCGGGCGACTCGCAACTCGGCGACGCTGTGCGATCGGTGCCTCTCCGACTTCCGCAAGTGGGCGGCCATGGCAGGGATGCCGCTCTTTGCGCCTGCCGAGATCGACTTCGCACTCGAGGAGCACCTCGAGGACCTGTACTTCAGCGGGTTCAACCACGACGCGGGCGAGACGGTGGTGGTGGGCGTGGAGTTCCGCATCCCCGAGCTGCAGATCCCAGGAGGCACCGTGCTTCCACGGGCAAAGAACGCTCTGCGGAGCTTTCGCCGCCTGGCGCCAGGTCTGAGCCGCGCCCCATTTCCTTGGCTTGCGCTCTGTGCGATGGTGGGCTCGGCGATGGCGATCGGCTGGCAGGAGATGGCGTTTTGCCTCGTGCTGATGTTCAGGACGTACCTTCGCCCCACTGAGTGCCACTGGCGGGCAGCTCGTCCCGCCGCGCCCTGGCGCGGCCACCGCGTCATGGGCGCTGCTGCTGGCGCCGTCGGAGCTGTCGGTGGCATCGAAGACTCACGAGTTCGACGAGAGCCTTCTGCTCAACAACGTGGAGTTCGGCCCCCCCAGGACTTCGTTCACTGGGCGAAGGCAGCGCCGCGGGCGCGGCCCCTGTTGTCCTTCGACTCTGTGACCTTCTCCAGGAACTTCGCCCGGTTGGTGGAGCTTGCCGACCTGTCGAACCTGCGCCTTCACCCTTATATGCTCAGGCACGGGGGGGCGTCGGACGAACCCCTTCGGCGCGCCGGGGCTCTGGGGGAAGTGAAGTGGAGGGGCAGGTGGCGAGCAGACTCGTCAGTTCGACGCTACGGACAGCACGCGCGCGCCCTGAAGCAGGCCGACACATGGTGGTCGCCAGCCGTGAGTGCGGGCGGCTGGTCGGCATTTCCTGCTGGAGATACTGGCGGGACTTCGGGCCTCCCCGCTGCCGCCCAGCGCGAGAGCCGCGCAGCTGACTCAGGCAGGCGGCCGACGGCGCCGAAAAGGCCTCACGCCTGATCATAATGCGGGCACCGCTCGCGACAGTCTGGCGGTGCAGGAGGTGCGCAGACGGCGGCAGCAGCATCTTCGCGCGGCTATGAGTCAATCGCCGGACGGCATTATTTCCTTGACCTCTTCTCGGGTGCCTCTCCAGTGTTGCATGCCTTGAATCAGCAGGTGAATCAGGAATTGCCTTTTGGTAGTTTGCGAGGATCTGAGTTTGATTTAACGGATCGTATCGTGCGTAACCATGTCTTAGGGTGGATCTCGGCGGGCTTTGTCAAGGGTGCCTGGCGCGCCTTCCCCTGCTCGTCCGGGTCCAACTGTCATTTTGCAACATTCGGCGGCCCTGGTGCCCTTTCGGCATCCCCGATCCTACGCTTGCCCAGGCCAGACGGCTCCGGGTGGGAAACCGAACCGTCGCGGCCACGCGTCCGCTCATTCGGGCATGCGTGCAGCTTCGTGCGCCGATGATTTGTGAGAAACCGCATTCGTCCTTGGCTTGGCAGGAGCCTGGGATGAGTAGGCGCAGAGCGCCGAAACGCCTGAGCGTGAATTCGATTTTCAGAGGAATTGCAGCCGGCACCTGGGCGAGAACGCGAACATGGCCTTCGTCCTCAAATTATGTTGTTGGCCACCGGTTTACAACAACAGCGGCTCCCGCTCAATATTTCCTGACGATTTAGCCAGGACCCCCGTTCCCGCCTGAAACTTCTCGCATTTTATTCAGGGATCGCGCTCTCGCATGGGACTTCCTTGCAATTTATTCAGGAATCGTTCCCTCGGCGCTCTGGAGTCGCGCTCTCGATGTAGATTTGCTTGCAATTTACTCAAGCATAGCGCCCTTGCGGTGGAATTCCCCGTGATTTAGTCAAGCGCCGCGCTCCCGACATTCAGGCACCCAGGAGTCGCGCTCACGCTTAGGACCCCCTCGCAGATTATTTAAGAATCGGGATCTCGCTGCCCTTCGTGGCCCCGTTGCAGCCCTTCGTGGCACCTTCGCTGCCCTTCGTGGACACCTTGCGGGCTTTCGTGGCCCCCTTCGCTGCCTGTCGTGGCCCCGTTGCAGCCCTTCTTGGCCCCTTCCCTGTCCTTCGTGGCCCCGTTGCAGCCTTTCGTGGCCCCTTCGCTGCCCTTCGTGTCCCCGTTGCAGCCCTTCGTGGCCCGTTCGATGCCCTTCGTGGCCCCGTTGCAGCCCTTCGTGGCGCCCTCGCTGCACTTCGTGGCCCCGTTGCAGCCCTTCGTGGCCCCCTCGCTGCCCTTCGTGGACACCTTGCAGCCCTCCGTGGCCCCCTCGCTGCCCTTCGTGGTCCCGTTGCAGCCCTTCGTGGCCCCCTCGCTGCCTTTCGTGGCCCCGTTGGAGCCGTTCGCGGCCCCCTCGCTGCCTTTCGCTACCCCGTTGCAGCCCTTCGTGGCCCCCTCGCTGCCCTTCGCGGCCTCATTGCAGCCCTTCGCGGCCCCCTCTTTGCCGTCGTGGCCCCGTTGCAACCCTCCGTGGCCCCCTCGCTGCCCTTCGTGGCCCAATATATGTATGCCCTTCGTGGCCCCCGCTCGTTCGCGCCCGTCGTGGCCCCATGTGCATGCCCCTCGTGGCCCCGCTGTGGTTTTTCGTGGCCCCCTCGCTGCCCTTCGTGGCCCCATTTCTGCCCTCAGTGGCCCCGTCCTTGCCCTCCGCGGCCCAATATACGTATGCCCTTCGTGGACCCCGCTCGTTCGCGCCCGTCGTGGCCCCATGTGCATGCCCTTCGTGCCCCCGCTGCCGCCCTTTGTGGCCCCCTCGCTGTCCTACATGGCCCAGTTGCCGCCCTCAGTGGCCCCGTCGTTCCCGTCGCTGTCTTCTGTGGCCCGCATTATCTGCCCTTCGTGGCCCCCGCTCGTTCGCGCTCCTTGTGGCCCCATACGCATTCCCTTCGTGTCCCCGCTGTCGCCCTTCGTGGCCTACTTCGCGCCCTTCGTGGCCCTGCTGTCGTTTTCTCTCTCGCTTTTGCTCGTCGTCGTCGTCGACGTCGTCGTCGTCGTCGTCGTCGTGGTCGGTCCCCTGTCCGTCGATCAGCGCTGCCGCTGGCCAGGCCGACGGTCCGCGGCCGCCCCGCCGCTTGCCGGGGCCCGGCCTGCAGGGAAAAAGGGTCTACCCCGCAAAAGGGGTACGATCGAAGACGAAAAGGGCAGGTATCGAGGGTTTGGGGAATACGCGTTAACGGACACTCGAGCAAATACGAGCGAACATTCCTAAAATGATTGTGTTTGCTGTTGTTGTGCTGGTGTTGTTGTTAGTTAATGTTGTTGTTGCTGCTGCTGTTTTTGTCGCTGTTGTTGATATGTTTTTCTTCTTCTTGAAGTTTGAATTTCGAAGAATCATGATTGTCGATATTCCCTCTCGGTGACCAGTGTCTTTTTGAATTCAAGTGCCCCTCCCAGGGCTTGCACCCTGATTTTCTTTTACTAGGGGAAGCCTGTGGTCGTCAAACTGCGCCCCTGGCCCCCGGTTTACAACAACAGCGGTTCCCGCCTGAGACTTCTTCATACTTTACTTCAAATTCGCGCTCTCGCGCGGGACCTTTTTAATTTATATATATATATATGTATGTATATATAAATGTGTATATATATATATATAAAGTGTATGTATGTATGTATATATATATATATATATATATATATATATATATCCAGGAATCGCGCTGTCGCGTGGCGTTGCCTTACAAAATATTGCGGCGCCGTGCCCCCGAGAATCACACGTCACGCTTTCGCTTTGGATTTCCGGACGATCTACATGGGAATCGCGCTGTCGCTCGAAACCTTCTTCATGATGTGTTGAGTGTTGACGCCTTAGCGACCCGCCCGCTCGACCTGGCCTCCTGGGCCCGCCCGACTTGCCCGTCCGGGTTCGCCCGCCCGACACGCCAGACTGGTTCTGCCGATTGTGCTGCTGCTCCTGACCATCCTCCTGCAAATTTCTCTCGTACTCCATCCTTCTCCCTCCCCCTTGTCTCTTCACTCCTCCCCTCCTTCCCCTGTTTTAGGGACTGCGCCAACTACACGCGGCACGTAGGGAAGCTATACCCCCAAGAGGGGGTACGATCTAAGACGAAGAGGGTGGGTACCGAGGTTTTGGGATATTCGCGTTGCGTGTTGAATAGCACTTGAGCAGATAAAAACGAACATTCTGACCATGCTTACTGTTGTTGGTGATAACGTTGGTGATGGTGGTGGGCGATTGTGATGATGCTGATGATAATGTTTCTGCTGCTGCTGATGATGATGAGCAGGATCATGATGATGGCGACGAAGGTGGTGACGATGGTTAGGATGTTGATGGCGATGCTGATGATGATTCTGATGGTAATGATGGGGGTGATACTGATGATGAAACAGATGAAGAAGACGACAATGAAAATGATGATGCTGATGCTGACGATGATGCTGATGATGGTGGTGGTGATGATGACACTCTGATGCTGATGATGATGCTGATAATGATCATGGTGATGATAACGATGATGCTGGTGATGCTGATGCTGATGATGATGCTGCTGCTGCTCATGATGGTGATGATGATGATGATGATGTCGATGAGGCAAACAAGGGGGAGTGGAGGAGGACGACGATGATACTGATGAGATGATGAGGAGGAGTAGTGAGGAGGAGGATGAGCAGGAGGAGACAGATGATGATGATGCTGATTATGTTGATGATGACGATGATGATGCTGATGATGATGATGATGATGATGATGATGATGCTCCTGCTGTTGCTGATGATGATGATTATGATGATGATGATGATGAGAGGAGAAGGAAATCTGACTCAGTTTAGGCCTTCTTTGTTCCAGGTTTCCCCGTTGGGGACTCGTGAGTCCGGGCAGCTCCCTGGCTCGGGCTGGCACCGCCCATTGAGCCTTTGGTCCCCGCGCCTCGGGGTGCAGGCCTGAGATGAGCGCCCTCTTTTTGGACTCCGATGAGCAGCGGCATCTTGAGGCCCTCTTGGGACTGTCGGTGTGCTCTTGGGAGTCCTTCCGATGTCCTTAGCCAGCCTGTGAGGAGCGCCTTCCTCTTGGATTCCAAAGAGCAGCGGCATCTTGAGGCCCTCTTGGGACTGTCGGTGTGCTCTTAGGAGTCCTTCCGATGCTCTTGGCCGGCCTGTGATGAGCGTCCTCCTTTTGGATTCCGAAGAGCTGCGGCATCCTGACGCCCTCTTTGGACTGTCGGGGTGCTCTTGGGAGTCCTTGTGGTGTTCTTGGGGAAATCCCGGGGCAGATTAGGCAGAGGTGGTCCGTCGGAAGCCCGACAGGGGAGAAGGCGCACATCCTTGCACACTTTGGACACTTGAGAAGTTTCGGCGCTTGCAGCCTCTCAGTGGGCACCGTGACACCTGAAAGCCATCTTTTGACCTCTGAGTGCCAGTGGAGGCCATCTTGGGTCATCTTGGAGGCCACCTTGGCCTCACAGTGACCATTTTGGGCCATCTTGGACTCGTTACTTCTCGCTCCGCCCTTCGGTCCCCACTCCCGGAGAGGGGGGAAGACCCGCCCCCGAAGTAGAAGAATGGTTGGTCACGGAAGAGCTGGCACTCTGGTACTCTGAACCCATTGCGCCCAGATGGCTGGTGGGATCCATATCCACCCGTCTGCCTCGAGAGTGGTGTGGTGCCGTCCAGAATCAAAATACGAGTCCGAAGGCGGAAATGTTGCGCTGCAGGGCTTGATTCTCATACTCAGTTTGTGACAATTTGCTTTCGGTAGTTGTTGAGTCGTCAAAATTTACGGGCATCTCGAAGAGCAGTGGGGATGTGTCCATAGCAGTTGAGCGTGTAAATAGAAACCCCGAGGCCCATACGATACGCACCTACGATGAAGACGCGGCTACGATAAAATTACCGACAGCACGTGCACATGCTCTTTGCATTAGTTCTCTCGCGAAAGTTTGAGTCAAGAGGCGATGGTATCGTTTGCGATTCACAGCGGGCCTACACGCGCGTGAAATTGAGTGCCCATCATTTCACCACGCCCGCTGTGGGCCCAGCGTGCGGCAAGCGCCCGATGCTGTGATGGACTGCTTTCCTCTCCTTTCTCCCCCTTCTCCTTCCTCTTCCCCTTGATCACTGCTCCCGCCGCAGCCCTGAAGTGGCAAGCGCAGCCGCTGCAGCCCCCGTGCAGGCACAACCCGCCGCTGCAACGAAGATGGCCCGCGCGCTGCTCCTGGCCGCCGTGGCGCTGGCGCCGTGGGCGTGCGCGCAGGGCCCAACGCCAGTGCAGAAGGTGATCGAGCTGCTGGAGGGGATGCTCGCCAAGGGCAAGGATCGGAGTCGGAGGGAGGAGAAGCGACACCGACACCACCAGGGGGCCACCTCCAGCGAGGAGGTCCACGATGCCTCCCCGAGCTGGGGACAGGGGATGTCTCGAGCGAGAGGGGGGGGACCACAGCACTAGGGAGACCCCCCCTGCCCTTCGCATCTCCTCGCCCTGGCGGTGTTGGTGTCACCTGTCCTTGTTCCTACGAAGGCCAGTACAGCACGCCTCCTGAGTCAGCGGGCCGCCAGAACACTCTCGATCGTCGCGTCGGCCCGCATCCTCCGTCGCGTTTTTTGTTCGCGCTCGGCCGTTATATGGCAAGAGGGCACGCTGTGGCACGAGCTTCGAACACCCGCGGGCGGCGCGTCTCCGCTGGGGCCGGTCTCCCCTCCCCTGGACACTTCGCGCGCTACAGTCGACCCGCATCGTAAGGATGGGCAACCTTCCCAAGGGTACCCTTGCATCCTTGCCCCTTCGGCCCATCCTTACGTAGCGACTTTCGCTGGTCAACCTCGTTCGAACAACGTTACATGGGCCTCCAAGGCCCTTGCATCCTTACCGTGGATCCTTATGATACGGGTTGACTGTAGGGAGGGGCGGGCCGGGGGGGGGGAGGGCGTCCGGCGCTGGCGGGAGCATGCCTTTCGCGGACGTCCGAAGTGCATGTTTGTTTGTTTGTTTATTTGTGTGTGTGTGTGTGTGTGTTTCCGCCCTCCTCCTTCGCTGGTGCAGCCAACTCTGCCTCGCCGCTGACTAAAACGTGTTTCCGCCCTCCCGAAGGAAGACAAGAAGGCCGAGCAGGTGAACTACGCCGCCTTCAGCCAGTTCTGCGAGGACACCGAGGTCGAGACCTCGCGCAACATCAAGGAGAGCGGCAGGCAAGGTTTGGCTGCGCACGGACAGCCCAGGAGGTGGTCCAGGCTGGCCTGAGTAACCCCTCTCGCGAGGGTGGCCCGGGGCGGTCTCGAAAGTCCAACCTCGTGGTGCGGAGAGCCCCTGGGGCGCCGCCAGAGGAGGCGGGCAGGTGTTGACCGCTCCTGGTTACCCCCGGGGCCTGGAGCTCAGCCTGGGCTGCCTCAGGGGGCATTCTGTGCCCGACGCGCATCCGAGGCTAGGACTCGTGTACGTATCGCCTGGGGCGCCCATCTTCCTGCACCTCGTGAGGCGGTGGATATTGCCATGCTGGGGCCAACCTGTGGCCCCAATATATCCACATACACCGCCATCTTCGGTCCTGGGAGATCGGTTCCTCAGGCGGCTGATGCGTGCAACATCCGGCCTCGCACCGCAAGCCCCCAGGCTTCTCGAAGTTTGCCCCACTCTGCGCTGCAGGCCTCCGCGCGCAGCTCTCTGACGACTGTGAGTGGATCGGCTCGGCAGCTCCCGGACTTTCGAAGCACTCCCCAGGGCCAGCTTTTCACTCCGAGTCGTTGTTCGAGGGCGCGGGAACGCCCCCTGGACGCCGAAAGCTGCAAACAACCTCCGCCTCGTTCCCCCCCCCCCCCACCCCACCAACACACGCCGCCCGGCCCGAGCGGGGTCATCAGTGAGGCCGAGGGCCGAGGAAGTATTTAGACAGCCATGCTGCCCGTACTCTTTCCCGCACCGTTTTTTTGCGCTCTACTGCGCGCTCTGGAGGCAGGCTCAGCACCTCAGCGCTTTTCCTCTCTGAGGCGCGTGCTTGCTGGGATGCCCGCCCCCCCCAAACTTCACAGCAAGCCAGGAGGCCGAGGAGAAGATCGCCACCCTGAAGGCAGACATCGAGGAGTACAAGGCCGAGGCGGCGCGCCTGCAGGAGGAGGCCAAGCTGCTCGAGGGTGACATCTCCGCGTGGCAGGGCGATGACAAGGCTGCCGCCTGCTGGGCTCGCTCTCCTCGCCCTCCCCCGTCCTGCCCCCCCCCCTACTATCCATTCTCCTCCTCCTCCTCTCCTCCTGCTTCCTCCTCCTGGCTCCTCCCTGCCCCCTCCTCCCCCTCTTTCTACACGCTCCTTCCTCCCTTCTTCCACCTCTCTCTTCTCCGCGAGAAGGAGCAGGGGGACAATGACGAGGGAGAGGAGGATGAGGAGGAGGAGGAGGAGAAGGAGGAGAAGAGAAGGAGGAGGAGGAAAAGGAGGAGGAGGAGGAGCAGGAGGAGGAGGAGGAGGAGGAGGAGGAAGGAGGAGGAGGAGGAGGAGGAGGAGGAGGAGGAGGAGGAGGAGGAGGAGGAGGAGGAGAGGAGGAGGAGGAGGAGGAGGAGGAGGAAGGAGGAGGAGGAGGAGGAGGAGGAGGAGGAGGAGGAGGAGAGGAGGAGGAGAGGAGGAGGAGAGGA